ATGTCAAACAGGTATGCTTTAAATTTGCATCCGATAAATGTGGAGTAAGATGGTATGCTAGCATATTAAGTTTTGGTGAGTTAGACTGCTGTTAAGTTTATTTTAATATCCACAATTAGCCAATGCTAAATGTTTTAATTACACAAGTATCTTAAAGACAGATTTTGAAAGAGCATCTCACTCACTCAGGTGGGATTGAAGAATTGATTCTGAGAAGTATATGATACTATCATGGCCAGACTAACAGCATTTTCACAAGTTTTGGAAGGATGACCTGCGGTGATAAGTTAGTATCTATAATTAAAGATCAAAGGGTAAATTTTTCAAAAGCAATTCAGTTAAAAAAAACAAAACAGTAGAATAATAAAATTTTACTTCAATCAAAACTCCAGCTCCACAGGCCTTATGCCATGTCATTGTTGTATTGAGACTTAAGGCTGGCCTTCCATTACAGCAGTAGTAGTGTTTAAAATGGTATAGAGCTTTGAGCCTTATGAAAGAGGAAATTGTAATATTTTTCCTTCTGTAAGATTCTGTTATCATAAAAGAAGATACTGGTACAACAAAATATATTAGTTTCCATTTGCAGTAAGTACCTTCTTCAGAGAATTTTGGACTAAAGATTGACTATTGCTAGCCTGTTACCCATGGTATGAAGTACAGATTGAATCTCTCTAGTCGGGCACACTATAGTTCAGCAATATCCATTGTCCAGCATGATTTTCATTAGCCAAATATCCACTTGTCATGGGTGTGGCCAGATTTCCCGCAGTCCCATAAAGTTTGTTTATAGCCACCAGTCCTGGCTGTGTGTTCTGTGCAGTTTAGCTCTAATTTACCCGAGATGTCTTCTAAGAGACCAGTAAGCAGTGCAAGTATTGATAATGCTCCTGTCATTTGGCAAATTCTTTGGTTTGGCACTGGTCAGGTCCCAATGGTGCTGGACTAGAAAGGTTCAGCCTATTTTTTTAGTCTCTTTTTTCCCTCTCTGTCTGTCTGTCTGTCTGTCAGAATTTGACTATTGTTATAATTCATTCTTGCGCATCACCTACAGGGCCCAGTCTTTTAAAAGTCTCTTGGAAGGACTCTATTGATCTCAGTGAGAGTTCTGTATGCAGTGTCACTGTGGATTGGACAAGTAGTAAAGTTAGCGTCTAAGGCACATGTTCTGTTAGGCAGAGTTCCCATTGTTCTTGTCAGATGTGGAACTTACCGCTGCAATTTGCAGCAGCCTTATCAGTGCAGTGCAGAGCCCTCGGACCACTGTCAAATCTGGTCAAGGGCAGTTATCAGTGATGTGTGATGTTTCTCTTTGGCAATAGCTGTGTGTGGGATCCTCTTGTTGAAATTCATTCAGAAATGCCCATGAGTAGCATGGAGATGGTTTTCTGATGTCAGAGTTAGACAGTTTTTTAACACTTCAGTGTCACAGAAAAATCTAGACAGGGCAAATGGGCCTACAAATGGTGCTTTAACAACCAGTGTGCTCTTGGATGGTGAGAAAGGTCTCTGTATAGTGGTGGGCTCAGGTTTGCCCCATCTTCTTAACCATTCTGGCCATAGCATGCTCATTATGAATGTGTGTGTGTGAAGGGTGACGTCATTTAATGCAGGGAGCCATAGTATTGTTGTGGGTCATATTGTCTCAGTTGCAATGCATGTGGTTGAGCATAGTTGGGTGTCAGTTGACTTCATGTGAAACAGATGAAGCTAGACCAGAGTGTTGTATTCTGCTATTGAGACTTATATATACAAGTCTCTGAGGTGCTATAGGACAATCTGTTTTTTTAAATTAAAACAGGCACGGCAGCTCCTCTGAGGCAGTAAGATAAAGCGCTGATTTTTTGGTGGCAAGTCCTACTCATCTTTATTTTTATCCTTCCCTCATATATATAATCTTTGGCAATTGGAAAAAGTTGGCAGTGGACCAATGCAGGAACCCCCTATATATGGAGTTTCTAATTACTTGGGCAAGGTCCTCACTAGGAGATTAGTACATGAAGTATTCCTATCCCACCCTAGTTCATAGCCTGCTGAGGGAAGGAGAGACTTAGAGCATCACTTGGGGAATCTTCCGCTTCAAGGCATAGAGGGGCAGAAAAGATGCCATCATCCATATGCATCCCCAACAGTTTCTCTTCCTACCTCCCCTTTTGCCTCCTCCCCCATCTCACCCCTCAGAAAACCCCAAACAAATGTTAATGAAACTTTACACTTTGTATTCAAGTTCCAGAATTTGGAAGGAAACTGTTGAGTATTATGAAGACTATAAATGGATTCTAGACAATGGTAAAAATGTGAGATACACTTTCAGTGCAAAGGCTTATAGAAGCAAATAAATGACATTGCTAGTTGGATCCTCTTGGCAAGAAAGGATAGAGCCTCTATAACAAACTCCAGTCTTTTCTATAGTTGAATCAGTCATTTCTCATTGTCAGCTCGAATCATTGTTTGACAGCAGCTGCTTGAATCTAAAAGTATCTTTTTCAAAAGAGTATTTTCTGTTTCCTCCCCCACAAAACAAGTTTTAAATTTATTTTGTCTGTTTAATTTTCCTCCCCCACAAAACAAGTTTTAAATTTATTTTGTCCGGTTAAGGTAAAAAAGGTTAAAAGCACTTGAGTTGCAAAACCAAAAAAACCCACAATTTTCCATCTAGCAGTTGTGTTCTGAAAAGTAGAATCTACTCTACTTTTAAATATTTCATATATTAAACTTCAGACAGGCTTTTAGAGTGAAAGGATTAATTTGTTATTCTAGAATTGACATACTTGTGAAAGTGCTATAAATAAATTTAACTATGTATTAATATATATGCAAAACTAAGAATAGTTTTATATTTCTAGGGAAACCTTCCTCCAGGATATAAAATCAACCTGATTGATGTTGGGCTTGTTATTGAATATTTGATGGGGGGAACCTACAGATGCACCTATACGCGAAAACGCTTTAGAGTCATATACAACAGTCTCAGTGGGAACAGTCGGGTATGTAGAGTTTGTTGAGAAGTTGCTTAAAAAGCTTTTCATTTATTAAAACATATTTTTAAAATATCTAAACATAAGCAATCCTTGACCCCTTGGGAAAATTATAGCATAATCTTGGAAATATTTGTGATGGGATTGAGTTCTTTAAGGACAATGGAACTAGCTGTGGAATTAAAAATTAATCATGTAAAAATATTCTGCTATTTAAAGCTGTTGACTATCATGCAAATAAAATTTTATAATTAATGATAACCATTTCAGTTGCATAATTTTTCAGTTAAGTAATTATTGTACTGTTTTGTGTACAACTGGCTCATATAATATTTTAATCCAAATGTATTAAGAAATTTAAAAATAACATTTAACTTTTTTTTTTTAAATTTCCAGCGGTCTGGGCGTAATCCATCAGGTAACACTCCTCAGCTACGTAAAAGCCATGACCCTTTTGGTAATAGGGCAGATAAAAAAGAGAAAATGCGACATAATCATTTCATCAAAACTGCACAACCTTACAAACCAAAGGTAGGTGTATGTCATAAGACTTCATCACTTTTTTTTTTTTTTTTTTAATTTTAAATTCTTCAAGGTAAGAACCTGGAGTTAAGTTCTGGCCCATTGAAGTTAGTGGCAAAATATATTCAATAGGACTCTGACTTCTTACAGTATGTTAAGCATTTTACATACAAGTATGGTGACATAAATAATGCATTTAATTTAAATATCACTTATGAGCAGTGGTATTTAAGGATGAAAAACTTATCGTTAGTGTAACATTACTAAATTCAGTTACAACAGGGATGAATATGACCCATTGAAATTACCTGCATTAGTAAAGTGAATAGGATTTGGCTCTAGGTTAGTAAAAACTGTTACCTTGTCCAGTAATTTGCAAAATGTATAGGCAACGGAGTCCTGGATTTAAGTGTGAATTAGCAAGATATAAACTGAGTTTTAAGTGGAAAATCCAGCCGATTTACAAATCTGATACAGCTAGATTGGGGATCTATCATTGTCAACAATACTGTAAATCTAAATTCTGATAAAATGTAACTTTTTAACCTTTCTATTGTTTTTTAAAGATTGATACAACTGCAGAAGAAGGAAAAAAGAAAAGAACCAAAGATGAAGTTGTAGACATTGATGATCCTGAAACTAAACGCTTTCCTTATCCTCTTAATGAACTCTTACTTTGGGCAGTGTTAATGAAGAGACAGAAAATGGCCCTCTTCTTCTGGCAGCATGGTGAAGAGTCCATGGCTAAAGCCTTAGTTGCCTGCAAAGTGTATCGTTCAATGGCATATGAGGCAAAACAAAGTGACCTTGTTGATGATACCTCGGAAGAACTGAAACAGTACTCCAAGTAATCTAGTTTTCATCTTGTTAATTTGTTTTTATGAACCTTCTTATAACATTAGCAAAATAGACATGACTAGAAAACATCTTTCCTCTTTCTGCTACGTGCTTTCTTAGCGTGGTTAAAGAAAAAGGATGTTCTCAAAGTTATTAGAGATACAATGATTGTATTCTAAGACAAGATGCATGTCATTACATTTCTTATATCGCTGTTGGTGAACCTGGTATTTACATAAAAAGATCTTGATGCACCTTGACAGAGATGTTTTACCTTAAAATTATTTATTGTATTACATATGAAACCTACATACATTTTGAGGAAAGCTATTTGTACTGTGTGTGATTTTGTGTGTAGTAGATAATGGGAATGCTGAAATTTTCAGTGGGTACACGTTTACATGCAGGTGGGGAGAGATGGGGGAGGCAGGAGCTGGTGCTTGCAGTGAGCTTGCTTTTAATCTGAGTCCCCATGAACACTGGCTCCTATTGCCCCTCTCCCCCACCCTGTACTGCTGCCTCTGTCAGAGGCAGTAGCACAGGGAGGAAGGGGGCACAAGGGGAGGCAAGGCTCCTGGCTCCCACCCTCTCCCTGCTACCTCTGGAAGGGACTGGGCATGGGAGAGTGCAGGCTCCCTATCCTAAAATTGGTAAACCTTTATTTTGTGGGTTTTTTCCCATATTCTAGTGAGTTTGGACAACTTGCAGTTGAACTACTAGAACAGTCCTTCCGACAAGATGAAACCATGGCTATGAAGTTATTAACCTATGAGCTGAAAAACTGGAGTAATTCAACCTGTCTTAAGCTAGCAGTGTCGTCAAGACTCCGACCATTTGTGGCTCATACTTGTACACAGATGTTGTTATCTGATATGTGGATGGGAAGACTAAACATGAGGAAGAATTCATGGTACAAGGTAAATATCCTTACTGTTCATTGTTAGTGTTAATCCTGCCAGCTGTTCTTACTTATGCTGATGTGGAAAAAAAGCATGTTGTATACAAAGTACTATGCTTATAAAATTTTAATCATTGTAACCCTTATTTATCTTAATGAATGTTATGAAACAGTTCTACTGTTACTTTTTTTAACTTAATCAAGTCTGGACATACTGTTAAACTCTTCTTTTGATGCTCTATTATCTTTTTAAATAAGGTACAGAAATGTAGAAGGCAGAAAACAGGCAAGTAGCCCTTAATCAGAGGCATATGTAGATCAGTGAATACTAATCCACTACTAAAAATATAGTGGTGAACAGACAGAAAATCCACTGTAAGAATACAATTTCATATGCTTCTGCCTTCTGCAGGCAGTAAGTAAAACTTGATGTAGAAATAAGCTTTCGTTTTAATTTCGGAGGCCCGAGCTGAACAAGTGGAGGCCATATGATGGAGCACTGGCGCACACATCCACAGTATCAGTTGGTGTAAATTTTCAGAGCAGTACACTAAAATAGTGGAGGCCATATGATGGAGCACTGGCACACACATCCACAGTATCAGTACACTAAAATAAGTCATGTAGCCGTAACTAACGATTACAAGAGAGCATGTCAATTATGGACATCACATTGAAAATTTACTCCATTATTTGGAACATAACAGAGGGGAAATCACCCATAAAGTGCAACTTTCATACCAAATGTCTATAAATATCATCTGCTTTGTGATCTACTAAAACTTACCTGCCAACTTATCTGTTTCTCTCTTGCATTGTAATGGACTAACTTTAATAAACAGGAAAAACTTAAAGATCAACCAATAGTCTTGCAGCACCTTTAAGACTAACGAAACATATAGGTGGTTTCATGAGAATTCGTGGGCACAACACACTTTGTGCCCACGAAATCTCATGACACCACCTATACGTTTTGTTAGTCTTTAAGATGCTGCAAGACTATTGGTTGATCTTTAAGTTTTTCCAGTTACAGACTAACTCGGCCACCCCTCTGAAGCTTTTAATAAACAGCTACTGTATCTAGTATTTTTATACATGTTTCAGACTTTGTGATTTTTCTACCATGACTAGAAAACTGATGCATTTATAATTAAACATGCCGTGTCTCTAGACTACAGCCATGTTCTTGCCAAAATTAGAGTAAGAAGAAAAGACCTATATATTTGATTGAGCTATAGCTCTATTATTTAATCTTGGAATACATTCTGTCCAGTAATATTTAGTTTTTGGAACGCATTGATATTTTTTTATCAAGAATTTTATGGAATGTTTTTATACGCTCACAGTTGGTCTACAAATTACATGTATAAATAACAAAAAATCTTTTCCTCTTACACACATTTTTTTCCATTAACTACCTGACGAGGACAATTTGGATTATAAAATTATATTTGTATAGGTGATAGTCTGTATGCCAATACCTTTGACATTTTATTATGCTTATGTTAAGTTAAATTGTACTTTTAAAATTATTCATCTTCAATTCTTATAGGTGATACTGAGCATCTTACTCCCCCCTGCCATATTAATGCTGGAATATAAAACCAAGGCAGAAATGTCTCATATTCCACAGTCTCAAGATGCACACCAGATGACAATGGAAGACAGTGAAAACAATTTCCAGAACACAGCAGAAGAGATACCTATGGTAACATAAAACAAATAAACAAAAACCCAACAAAGAAAGAAGTATTTCTATTCTGGGAGGGGTTGCAAGTGGATTGAAGTATAGTTCAAAATTATCTTGACAAACTGGAGAAATGGTCTGAAGTAAATAGGATCAATAAGGACAAATGCAAAGTACTCCACTTAGGAAGGAACAATCAGTTTCATGCATACAAAATGGGAAATGACTGTCTAGGCAGTAACATTGTAGAAAGGGATCTAGGGATTATAGTGGACCATAAACCAAATATGAATCATGTGACACTGTTGCAAAAAAAGCAGATGTGATTTTGGGATGTGTTAACAGGACTGTTGTGTGAGAGACTTGAGAAGTAATTTTTCTACTCTACTCTGCACTGATTAGGCCTTAATTGAAGTATTGTGTCCAGTTCTGGGCACCACATTTCAAGAAAGATGTGCAGAAATTGGAGAGGATCCAGAGAAGAGCAACAAAACTGATTAAAGATCTAGAAAACATGACCTATGAGGGAAGACTGAAAGGGCACGTCTAGACTCTTAGAATTTCGAAAGATGATGTTAAAGTGAAAGTAGTCTGGATGTGGTTTTCTCGGGGGGTGAGCGGGAGAACCTTTCTTTAAAAAAAAAAAAAAAGTGGGGGATTTTTTTTTTCAAAAGGGTTTTTTTTCTGGGCGGGGGGAGGGAAGCATCCAGACTACTTTCACTTTTGAAAGAACCTCTTTCGAAAATGCGATCAGAAGAAGAAATGCAGATTCTTGCGGAATTTGCGTATCCTCTTTTGAAATTCAAATGTAGTCTAGACGTGCCCAAAGAAATGGGTTTGTTCAGTTTAGAAAAGAGAAGGGGATATGATGGCAGCTTTTAAGTACCTAAAAGAGTGTTACAAAGATGAGGGAGAACAATTATGCTCCTTAACCTCTGATGATAGGACGAGAAGCAATGGACTTAAATTGCAGCACGGGAGGTTTAGGTTGGACATTAGGAAAAAATTCCTAACTGTCGGAATAAATTGCCTAGGGAAGTTGTTAAATCTCTATTATTGGAGATATTTAAGAGCAGGCTAGAGAAACATCTCTAGGGATGATCCAGGCGGTGCTTGGTCCCACTGTGAGGGCAGGGGACTGGACTTGTTGACCTCAAGATCCATTCCAGTTCTAACATTCTGTGATTCTATGGTAAGTTCATAGTATATTTTTTGTGTTAGGAAGTATTTAAAGAAGTAAGGATCTTGGACAGTACTGACGGGAAACATGACATGGAGATGCCAACAAAACCTAAGCGACTTCCAATTACACGAAAGTTTTATGCATTTTATCATGCACCAATTGTGAAATTCTGGTTCAATACGGTGAGTCTTTGAAGAAAAACTGTAAAATGACTTGTGCTCCACCTCTTTTTCATATTTATGCCTGATTCTTAGGTAAACATACAGTTGTTCTAAATAGCACCAGTTCAACTGCTCAGTCTAAAAATATCTTCCTAAGAAATGAAAATGGGGTTTTAGAAGCTGGCTAATATATGCACTGTTTGCAAAATATGGCATTCACAATATACATGCTCTTTAATCTATTTGTCCTGATCTGTCGTCCTCCTGTAAGGTAAGTCAGGATGAATACTTAGCAATATCTTTAATTGTGGTGTACTATGTTGCCTCAAACAATTATGTAATTTGTGCTAAACTGCATATTAGACTAACATATTAAGACAAAATTGTGTACAATTCATTTAGATAATTTACAGAAGCTTTAGTTTAATGTTCTAAAATGTTGATACTACTTTTTTCTTTTGATCTTGAGGGATATATCAAGCTAATATACAGTACTTTTTCCATATCTTTGCATTTACTGTCCTTGTCTCTGTAAACAAGTACAGTTATCCCACTTACTCTTTTAATGAACACTTTATAAGTTATAAAAAATAATCCACACCCACCTGAAAATATAAAATTAACATTTTTTGCTTGCTTTTTTTTTTTTTTAGTTGGCATACTTGGGATTTCTGATGCTTTACACATATGTAGTCCTTGTAAAAATGAAAGGAGTACCGTCAGTTCAAGAATGGATTGTTATAGCTTATATTTTTACATCTGCTATTGAGAAGATTCGTGAGGTATGTTTGTAATCTTAATTATGTTCTAGATTACTTCACTGATGTCAAGTATAGCAGTATGCTTTAAATTATCTTTATCAGATAATGATGTATATCAAAAGTATTATAGTGCATATATTATTTTATCATATAAAAGTTATGACCATTTCCTTAATGTAACACATAATTTACTACAATAATCAAATCCCTTGTCACTCAAAAAGGCCAATGGATTTGGGTAAGGTATATTTTAAGTAAACATGTTGAAGTACCATTTAAAAAATATGAAAAAGAAATGATCTTTCAGCATTGGTCCAGAAATAATTTTGTTCTGCAAGTGGTAACAGCAGAGCTGAGACTTTAAAAAAAAATGTGCTTGGTATTGTGCATAGACTCTCAATAAAAGTACACAGCTAACTGGTCTTGTGTATCAAATTGCTACATTTATTGTGGAATTGTGGGTGTGGTTGTACATATAATTGTGGTAATCACATATGTGTATCTGAAAAACTAACATAAAATGATTTAAGGTCTAGATTTTTAATTTAACCTGGAAGCATGCTCAGACATACAGGCAGTCCCCAACTTATGCGGA